AACAAATACATGCTTGGATGTTTTAAGGACTACACAATAGCAGATGGAGACAGTGATTATTGCAGCATTTCATAATTATAAACTTCTGTATTAAATCAAAATGGCAATCAATTTAGGGACAAAATACCATTTTCCACATCTGCGTTGTCCTATATCCTCGTCACTATGCTGCCACCATGTGAGATACACAGTACTCCTAGTGCCCCATGATGCAAGCTTTCCTGGAATAGAGGAGGGCATGGTGAAAAAAAAACTCACTATCAATTTTGTTGATTATATATATAGATGTGGGGAGTAGAATATTAAAAAGTAATATTCTGAGAATTTAAACCTTTGATTTAGTGAACTGAAGTTTATGCAGAGTGGAGCCAAAAAGTCTCATTCCTCCCACAACAACAAGAAATTATTGAACTTTTGTGAACTCTTCAGAAATAAGTGAGGAACTTATTATTGAAAAAGTATTTTAACTTCATGACATAATTTAACCCAATGGAAAATAGTCATTATATGCTGCCCTTTTCCTTAATAGAGACATTGTCAATAATTACAAGTTAGAGTGTTTTCAAGCATGTACAGTATGGAGTAAATCCTAAAGAAACAAATTACTGTTAGTAAAACAGTATCTTTCTTAAATACCAGTGCATTTAAGGCACTATGCTAGGCACTTGTTCTCAACTGGGTTTGAGTTTTTATCTTATAGAAAATGATGTTTGCTGGTTACTTTCTATGGATGAATAGAAATGCTTGCGTTGGCTTCCTCTAAATAATCTGGACTAATCAAAATTCCATTAAAACTAAAAAAAAAAAAAAAAAAAAAAAGACTGAAAAGAAGCCAGTGACGTTTGACATTTACAAATGAGGTGACATAATCAGGCTACGTAATGTCAGTTCAAAGGGGGATGAATGTTTCCCCCAAAATAGTGCAAAGCATGAACAAAATAGGGCACTTTCTAACTAAGGTAAGTCTAGAAAGAAGGTTCGGTGGTTTAAGAACACATACTGCTCTTACAGAGGACGCAAGTTCAGCTTCCAACATCCACATCAAGCAGCTCACAACTGCTTGTAACTCCAGCTCCAGGGCATCCAACACCCTCTTCTGGCAACCATGGGTACCTACACAAACCTACACACACACATACACACACACACACACACACACACACACAATACAAATAAGTTAAAATATTTTAATCATAAAAAGAAAATAAATTTACATATGTTATCATTGTAAGAAGGTATGATGTTCACAAATGTATTAAATCGATATTCTATGCCTTGTGACCCTCTTCCCTACCCGAAACTAATCCAACTTAGACAATTACTGTTCCTCCTTAGGACTGCCATAGACTAGTGCAACCAAAACAGCTGTATTTCATAATCATTGCCATTTTAAACTCCTGGCTGGTGGAAATTGTGGCTTAATCAGGATTCTGTGTTTAAGACCAACTCAATGCCTATCCCCCAAGACAGCCTGTGAGAGACAAGCTCAGCCATGGCCCTGTTCTAACTCTTTTCACCAGGACTGCTTCCTGGCCTTCCCTCTAAGAACTTTTCCTCTGCATACACCTTCCTTGTTTTCCATTTCCTGACCCTTCATTCTGTTAACAGATAACTTGTACAAGTCCTGAATTTTGAATACTTTTTTGGCTTTTCTTATCCTTCTAATTTAGCCTAACCTTCTTCTTCCTCCTTTCCAACCACCACTTTTGGTGCACTCTCTGTGATCTGGTAGCCTCTTCAGCTTCAGGGAAAGAATCTCCTCTGCCAACCACTGCTCTGATTATTACCAGTACCTCATTCCCAAGTCCAGGCATTACTACAGAGCAAAACAATTATTTTACTTCTCAGCCAAATAAGCAAGTTTTGTATTCTGGGTGGCCCATGGGGAAAGAAAAAATTTGAAATTCTCCTCTCGCCCACAAATTTATAACATGACTTCTACTTTTTGTTGAATATTCTGATTTTAATAATAACATCAGTCTAAATGAAAATGAACACAGTTGTAAGCTATCACTACTTGTTTTTTCACTGGATTGTACAGCATTTAAAACTACAATTTTAATAAGATGATATTAAGAAATTCAAATGATTTCCTAAAAGGAAAAATAAACATACCCTGAAAAATTCCTTTTCTCTTTACTTGGGTGACTAAATAAACTGATTGGTGTAGTTAGGGTATTATTATTCACTTACTCACTTGTATACAAGACAGAGAGAAGAAAAGAATTAGGAGGAGAGGCATTCAGTTGCCTCCTGTGAGTGACCTAGGTACCTCGATGTAACTGTACTAGTCAG